TGTGACTGAAGCAAACTTTGTCTTGCTATGCCTTGCCTGAAATCCAGCTTGTGCTTCACTTGGCATCTATGTGGTAACTAACATGAGGTGCAAACCAAGATAAGACAAGACATTTGGATGTTTTCACATGTGCTGTGTTGAGATAAAGCATGCAGAGGCAGAAGGGAGATTTACAGTGCCCACTGACCTGCTAACACACATTAAAACCACTTATCTTCACATGGAATTTTGCTCCCCACTTATCCTGAATTAGCCAATGTGGAGTAAAACAGCATTTTTAATATTTTTTTTTCTTTGAAACAAGGCTCCCTGGCTTGTAGAGAGGGATTCTCTTTTCTATTAGTGAGCTGGGAGGTTTTATGTCATTGGCAGAAGCCCAGAAGAATGCACTGAGGCATCCTCAAAGATCCCACAAGAGCATTTGCTTTGAGGAGCTGGAAGGAAACCAGTCAGAAACCCACTCTGAGGTAATAATGCTCCGCTGTAACCTGTGGATCTTCAATAGCTCACAGAGAGCACTAATAAATTCGCTCACAAGATGCTTCTCCAAGTGACGAGCTATAGTATTTTTACTCTATCTTGGCTGTATTTCTGTCACTCTGTTCCCCTGTGCTTTTCCAAACAGAAACTAGATGAAATCCACATGTTTTTAAGACACTATCCAAAGAATACAAATTGGATTTCAGTGCTGTCTTGGAGCAACTCATTACAGCAGATTGCGTAATTACTGGGAAAGCAAACAGAAATCACCTTGCTAATCAACAGGGAGTACAGATGCAAAACAAAAACAAAAACAATTAAAATAATCATAAGCTGTCAATATTTACTTCACACAGCAAGTTTTTAATTGTCACTTAAAGACAATCCAACACAAGGGCATAATTTAATTCAATTCAATTCTCAGCTAGGAATAGGTTGTTAAACTTATTTATCTCATACCCAAAGATTATTAGCTGTTCTTTAACTCATCAGGCAGTGAAGTATTCTAAGTAGAAGTCCTAGAGCAAGGGCTTTCCAGGAAACTATGCTGGAAAATGTCTATATTTTTTTAAGCCTTCAGTGAAAATACAGTGTATTTAACGAGTGAACATTTATGAGCAGTTCTTAGACAAGCAGACAGGAAATTTGGCAGCAAACAGGAAATTTGGAAAGGTGCTCAATGGGGAGTACAGATGTCCAAGTACAAACTCAGCAGTGTCAGGCAAACACCAGAAACACTTTCTGTTATAACCTTCACAACAAGCAATTGCTTTAGGAAAGATCTTTTCCAAGTAGCTAATCTTAAAAGATGTGATAATCTCAGGAAGAATTTGGGGGGAAATGCTCACATGCCCTCATCCCTGAAACCAGTAAGCAACAATCAGGTTCTTTTAAACCTCTATTGGAACTAACTCTTGGTCAATTAAATTGAAGCCAAAAGCTGTAATGGAGATGATGGATTTGCAATAATGGACTTCTGTAGAGAGATGACACAGGTGCCCACTTAAGAGGATTTTTCTGAGTATGCCACAGGCCATGAAACCTGCCTGTGGCTTTTTTTTTTGGAGTATTGCTACCAATGAGTTAGAGCTGTTACATCCTGATTCTGAGAGAGTTTTCTATTGATGGCTTCTGCAGGGTCTGTCCCCTCCTCCACGGCATGAGATGAGCCAGCAAAGGAGGGAAGGGAAGGGAAGGGAAGGGAAGGGAAGGGAAGGGAAGGGAAGGGAAAGGGAAGGGAAGGGAAAAGGGAAGGAAAAGGGAAGGGAAAAGGGAAGGGAAAGAAAGGAATCCTTATGGTTGGAAAAGATCACTGAGATCATCTAGTCCAACCATCAACCCAAGAAGCTGCTTATTGCAACATCTCAGCCCTCCAAATGATGTTGACCATTCCCTCAATGATCACTGCAGTAGCATCAGCTGTAGATCAGATTTAATTAGCAGAAGCTTGAACTAGATAAGCTCGAGATAATATTTATAGGGCAGAGGAAACAACTGAAAGTGACACCAAACACAACACCAGCATGCACAACTGGTGGAGTTTATCCACTCCCTCTTCTAAATACTGACTGTCTCTGCTTGCTGTGGGACATGCCTGGTTGAGAGCAGTTTTCATAAACATTTGGTTTGAATGCCATGTGCCTTCATCTCTGGTCCTGTTTGTATTCTTTGTTTAATCTGCTTAGCATGAAGAGGTTTTGATTGCATGAATGCTTGGAAAATATCTATTCTTTGTGAAAATATTTGCCTGTGCAACCTAGCAAAGAGGCTCGTGCGTAAACATCGTTCCTGATGGTGATGCTGATGTCTGTCTACACATCAGACACACTGCAGTCTCTGATTTTTTGTCCTTTGAAAATAGCTGTGACCTAAACTCCTCATCACTCCAATCTGTGTACATAGGAAAGCTCTGTTTGTAGAAGTGAGAGTTTTCTACGTTTCAGAGTGTACTTGCTGTTTGCAGGGAGGTAACATATAGATGTACATTGTTCAGTATATTCAAAATTTCAGCAGAATTTTAAGGCATCTCTCCCACGTTCCCTAAACTGAAATAAGCTTGTTTTTGTAGTTTGATTATTCCTTTCTCCCTTCCTCTCAAAGAAATCAGTTGCAGCATCGTTGATACAACTTTATTGTATTGCATTGTATTTGAAAGCAGTCTCTTTCTGCTTTGCCACACTAGCACACTTCTTTGAGATGCAGAGGCCCATTGTCAGAGGTCATCCTTTAGGGATTCTACCCCCAGTAAAAACATCCTTCAGTTTGCAGATTACTGTGATGTTCAGACTCTGCAATACACAGTTTTCTTTGGTAATCCACAATTGCAGGATGGGGCCTTTGCTGCTCCACAAGCCCAAATCAGAGTCAAAGGTCTTTCACTGAGCAGGGAAAGTATGAGGAAATAATAATTCTTCAGCAATGTGCTTACAGCTCCTTTGGGTTCACTTCCCATTTAGAGACAGTGAATACTTGCAAATTTTGAGATTGTTTTATGAATTATTCACAGCAGAGAAAGGGCTCTGAGTTGCATTTGTACAATGAGAAGAAAACAGATGATAGATGGTTTCCCATGTCCAAAGAAAAATCAACCATTGCAGCTTGAATTTTGAATACCGATACCAAATTACTAATGAATAATTTGCAGATCAGGAATTTTTAAGTGAATAATTTTAAACAAATAAATTTGAGAAAATCAGACAAGTGGTTCATCTGCTTCTTTCGGAGGAGCTAATTCACCCATTCAATCCCTTCTGCAGCTCAGTTGCAGTGATTTGGTTCTCAAAGGACCAAAAAGAAAATGTAAATGCAAGTAAAAAGTGTGCTGTAAAAATGTTACTCTGCCAATTCTGAGTGACAGGGTATGTGAGTAATAGGGTAGAAGAGCATCTGTTAAACCTGCTAAAAATACAGTACCAGTTCTCATAATCGGTATTGGCAAATGAGTTTGAAGTAAACGTTGGGACATGGGGAAAAAGCTTTTAAATTGAGGATGCTAAAGGACAAACAATTTTGTAGGGTTAAGGAACTAACTAAACCAACCCAACAGTGGGACAACTTTGGGGCTACCTTGGAGAGCCTATGAAAATAGTATATACATGTGAGTTAAGAAAATAAAAAAGTCAGGGCAGTGGGTGTGCTGAGGAGCGCCAGGGAGGGACTTGTGGTTGTGCCCTTAGCTCTACTTAATGTTAATAATGCAACAGAGCACCAAATTGCTTTGGTGAATTCACCATGCAAACAGTTGTTCCTGTCAGGGAGACCCCTACTAAGAACTGTGACACTACTGAGCTTTCATCTAGCCTTTCTAATCCCCGGAAGCTCATGATGAACATTAGCTCCTGGAAACCCAAATAACTTTACATAAGTCTTAGTAGTCCCATTATAAAGATGGAGAAATCACAGAAGAAAAGCTATGTCACTTGACCTAAACCAGAGTAAGCACAGTTTTCAGGATTGGGCTATAAATTAGGAACTGGTGGTTTCCAATTTTGTGGTTAGATAATTAAACCAGGCCTTCCTTTTCTATTGAAGCTAATCTGTGAAAAATAAGTGCCTTCCATTTAAGAGGTTTCCAAGCATGTATGCGAAGAGGAATTTATGACTTACAATTTATGTAAAGAACTTCCTTTTCATAAATCAATTTATTAAAGCTCTGGAGAAGCTTCCAAAGGCTCTGATCCAGTAGTGCACTTAGACATGCCCATAACTTCAAACCAGTAAATCATCTCATTGAAGTGCTTTTCTGGAATAGTGCCAAAGACACAGCAGCTTTCCCCCAAGTGGAGGTTCAGACTTAAAATGGGGAGGGGAAATAATTTATCAGAAGTTTAATAAGTTGCAATCATGGTACAGCTCTGCCAGCCTTCCATATTAATACTTCAAGCTCATAAGAAATGGCCTTAGGGAGATAACTGCCTCTATTGATACCCTGTGATGGGACATTAAAACTATTGTGGAGGATGCAATGTTTCTGGTCTTTCTTGCTTTCAGCAGATTCCCTGTCCAGTTCAGGCTTTGTGTAGTAACATCGGTTGCTCTTCTGCAGTCCACACAACTTTGGAAAGGACATGGCTGGATCTAGCAAAATCCCTGGGGAATGAGCTCCCAACTATTCCTGGTTTTGAAGATTATCTTCTCAGGAGAACTAAGCACTGTATTATTTCAAGATCTTAAAGTGCTTTTGATGGTTTCATGATACTGACATCACTTTGATGAGAGCATTATTCACACCTGTCTCTGGACTCCTTCACTTGTAAAGGAGACCAGAAGGGAATGTTACTCACAGTAGCAGGGTAACACCTCTGACAACAACATGGAGTTTTTTGGGCACGCTGTGCCCTGGGGATGCATGGTCTCATAGTAAGGCTAGTGGCTCCTTCTACATTCACCAAAGATTGTTACTCAGAGTTGGAGAGACAGATGTCATTTTGCTGATGCAAAGCTACCAGACTTAACAGCCCATCCTTCTGCATCACAAAATCAGAACACAAAAAGCAGCACAGCTTCAAATCGATACTTACATCAACAATGAGGAAGTCAAGCCAGCACCAGGCATTGGTGAAATACTTTTTGAAGCCATAAGCCACCCATTTCAGGAGCATTTCCAATACGAAGATGTAAGTGAATATTTTGTCAGCATATTCCAGCATGGTTTTTATGTTTTTTCGATCCTCAAGGTAAATATCTTCAAAAGCCTGGAAGTGCAAAATATTGATTAAAAGCTTCTGCTGAATGGTGTCAGAAAGCATCAGTACTGCAATGCAAGTCTGTAGTATCATTTGATGGGACATCATGTACTGACAATGATTTCTTAGTTTAATGTTACCACCAGAGTATGTGCACAGACATAGACAGGACTGATCCTGATGTAATAGGCAGAATCTGACCCTTACATTTAGTCTGACATGTCTTGCAGCTAATGATGACAAATTGGGTTATTAACGTGCTTACGCCTGTGTTACAGAGCACAGAGTTCCCTGGCTTCTGTTCAGCCATCACATTTCAGGTAGCTACAACTGTCCGCCTTGAGAAATGCGCATTATTATTCACTTAACAGAGCAATTATGTTTTAAAGGTCAAGGTATCTATCTACCCATCTCATCTGTCCAACTAAGCTTGTGTTGGGGATCATCAAAAGGCATTCAGTGCCTGCATCAAGTACAAGCAACTTAATAACCCTTTTAAAATATTTACGATATGAAACAATGTGCCTACTAAATTCAAACAAGTAAAGTCATCCCATAATAATCAAGTAATAATCTAATAATGCCATAATACAGGTTCCTGGCATCAAGGAGGCCCACAGAGGGCTTAGTTGGGAGCTGCCTCCCCAGTTGACCAAGTGACCATCGTTACCCAAAGTGCCTCCATGTCCCTCCAGCCTGGAAGTCCCAAGCTTTGATATACTCCTCTTGTCCCATTGTGTGACCTAGAGCACTTGGCAACAAGACAGCACCATGTTATTTGAGAGGGCCTGTGCTAACCATCTTCATTATCTGCATTTACATATTTCAAGATCTGTCGTTGTTTTCTGAGGAACTTCCAAAAGTTAGCAAACATGCAGTGCCTGCAGATACAAGAAGTGTGCTACTTGTCACTCCAGCAATCACACTGGTCTTTTGCCTGCCAGGAAACAGTAATTAAACTGACAAGACAGCTCTGGGAGCCTGAGCCAACACTTGTCCATTTGTCCCCACACTTCAGGGTGACGTTTTCACCGCGACTCAATCTCCTATCTTGCCTTCAAAAATGATATTTCAAGGGTGTGAAAGAGCTGTTGGAGAAAGCCACAGAAAACAATGCACAGATGGGAGTTTATCACTCCTGGTAGGGGCTCACTCACTTTGTCAGATGACTTGCTGTACTTTGCAATTACCACAAAAATAACAACAAGCTATTTAAAGTGATTTCCTGCTCTCTCTCCTGCCTTTGCTCTCCTTGTTTTCTACCAACTTGTCAGAAAGTACATTGTGTTTGGTCTACCAAAAGCACACAGTGAGCCAGGAAGAAGCTTAATAAGTGGTGAGGAATATGCAACCTGAATGCCCCAGGTGCACTGTACTCCTGCACAAGCTATGACATTACACAAAAGACTAAACTAAACATTAAGGGCTGTTTCCTCTGCCTTGCTTTGTGTATTAAAAAAGAATTAAACATGATACCTGCAGTGTTTCCCACAATTACTGTTAGAACACAGACTCCCAATTTGAGCACTTATAGCTTAAATGCACGAGAAAGGTTTTCAGATCTTTTGCAATTAGCTGTAGATTTATCGTCATGACTTGACCACCGTATACAAACAGACTAGAATCACAGTGTCATTAAGGTTGGAAAAGACCTCTAAGGTCGTTGAGTCCAACCATCAGTCCATCCTCACCATGTCCACTAAACCATATTCCTTTAAATTCCCTGAATAACTCTGTGTGTTGCATGGACGTGGCCAGATGAGCTCAATTTTTGGAAAGGCTCCTTCAGAATAACAGCAAGAAGCATCTGTGTGTTTCCCCCAACATCTCTAATCCAAATGCTAGAAGAGCAGTGCTGATATATTAAAGCACAGTGCTGGCATTTGAGAAGTTGCAGTGGAAATTGCCCTTCTGCAGAAGTGTACTGAGTAAATTCAAAATCACACACACACAAGAGTGTGCAATGAAAAGTAAATGAGATTTGTGTTTCAGTCTTCAGGATCTAAAGCACTTTTAATTACATATGTAAGGAAGTGTATTTCTCTGAAGTATATTATAGCAAATGACATGCCTCCTTTAAAATGCATTAAAAAATTAACATGCTGATCCTCAAGTTGGTGCAAAAACTGTCAGAACCCATTGATTTCAGCAAAGCAATGACAATTTTCAGCCTCAGATCTACACAAGTTATTCAGCCTTTTGCTTTTCATAATAAAATAAAATCCCCTGGGAGAAATTTCAGCCCATCCCTAGTGGACCTGAAGAATGGCCTATCTCTTTCCCTTTTGTATCAACATTTATGTATTTCCATCTTCTTCTCTCCCTGCAGAGACTTTTTTAAAACTACATAAGCCCAGTTCTTCTGTGTTTTCCTCCTTTTTTTTTTTAGGCCACTGATAATTTGCGTTGCCCTCCTCTGGAGTTTCTTCAATTAGCCCACGTCTTTCCCAAAGTGCAGTGCCCAGAGCTGCAGCCTATGCTCCAGCTGAGGCCTCCTTGATGCCAACTGGAGTGGAAGAACATGCTTATTTATACAGCCCAGTGGGGTGTTTGGCTTTTGTGCAGTGCTGTGATCTAGTTTATTCTGTTTATTGCCTACTCTGTCTCCAGCTCCTTTTAGTAAATCTGCTACCTTATCAGTCATGCTGCATTTTGTCTTTCTGCCCTTGATTATCCCTTCTGAGGTGAAGCATGCACCTTTGTAACTAGACTTTTGTCTTAGACATTGAAGGCAGATTCATGCATTTGGCAGAAGTTAATCCCAACCTTCAGAAAAACCTGTCCAAATGTGGTACTGCCTGCAAATTTAGCAGATATATTTCTTTCTCTTTCACTGATGACAACATTGGGGGTCACTGGACTGAATTCCAGAACACTTCTGACATACCTCTTTGGTGCACGAACAGCTAGAAACCTGAGAGAAAACCTACCAATTTCAGGGATGTTCCTGACCCATGTAAATCACAGAATGGCTTGAATTGGAAGGGGCCTCAAAGATCATCCAGTTTCAACCCTATGTCATAGGCAGGGTTCCCCACCATTAAATGAGGAACCATCAGTCAACCTCTCAGAAATTGCCACTGGTTGCCACTACCATAACAAGCTGAGGGCTGGTAATACAGAGCTGATAATCCCAGCAACCTGTGGGATCTCAGCAGGAGAGGATCTTCTATCAGAGTCATTAGCAATGATCAGCCAGTATCCATGAGTGCACATTCATTCTGGCCGCAAGCAGAAGACTTTTGGGCAGGTAAGGTATGGTGGGTTAAGCTAAGCTGTGTTTAGAGGTGATAGGCACCCACCACCTCTGTTGGTAGCTCTCTGATTCACTGCTCATTGCATCTTTTCCTTCACTGATCAGAAAATACGTTATAAAAAAATAGGAAAAAAAAGGTACCCCTAGAGCCAAATTTATGTCTTCAGATGGGAACTACCAGTGAGCAGCTATAGGACACTGAAGTGGTAATTCTAGGCTACCTCTTCATGCAGACTTCCTTAAAGATGCCCTTTTCAAAACCTATGCACGTCATAATTTTATGTTATAACAGAAGAAAGTTTCTCATTATATGGAAAAGGCAGATGAAATCAGAAAAGCAGAAAGCCTGTTTTTCTCCCAAACATACTTTGCTTTGAGAAATAAGCAGTGAGGGTTCCTAAGATCACCTAATTTAAGAACATCCCCTCTTAGACCCATGTCTACTTTCAATTAGCAAGGAAATCCTGATAGACTTACCAGGGCTCCACTGCTCAGCAAGATCATGAATATGATGAAAGTCTCAAACCAATTGTGTTCAACAATCCTGTAGCAAGTTTTCCGGAGCCTCCACCAAATTTTGCCTGGAAATTTTGAGATATCCACGGAGCAGCATGGGAAGAACCGCACACAAACTGAAAAGGAGCAGAACAATAACAAAGCAATTGTTAAAAAAAAGACAAAAACAAACATAAAATCAACTATTTAATTCTTAAATTTGCAACAAACACATGCTAAAGAGGATTACTTCTAGCACAAGCTACTCCATGTAGTCTTTTCTCCCTTGTTCTTCTCTTTCCCTTTTGATTTGCCTTCTATTTTCCTGCTTCACTCCTCTATCCAAAAATATTCAAAGCCACTCAAAACCTGCCCCGGTGGTTTCTCCTAGTGATTTTTGTGATCTAGAATATTTTGATTGTGAGTCATCACTACCCCAGGTTGACCATGTTGTATGAGCCCCACTGATCAGGTTTAATGACTCCAGCAGGGCATTACCAATAATTTCCACATCCTTCTGAATGTAGAAGGGACATTTTCTTGGTATTACAGCACTATAAGATTTGCTGATTAAAAGCGGCAACCTGATGAAAAGGAGATGAAGGGAGAAGGCGCTGCTGCATTGCAAATGGAACAAATGTGCTGAAGAGACTTAGGAAAAGCAGGAGCAGATTTTGGTCTCTTGGTCTCTCACAAGATTAATCAAGGCACCACGCCAACTTTGGAAAGGTATTTAGGTGGCTAAATACCCTCTGACTTCAGCAGAAATTTAGATGCCCAGCCTCTGTCCACAGCAAGTTTTCTACCAGCCCTCATAGCACTGCCTGACCTTACTGAGATGTTGCAGTGACAAATATGCTGTGATGGCTAAATGCCATGGTGGTAACAGGGACCGCAGATGGATCTCTGATGGCAAAACTTTGGCCAATTTTAGTCGCAGCATTACATTATTAAAACAAAAGAATATTTTTGTTGGTAGTGGACAGATCCATCTTTCCCACTTAAAAAAAGCACTATGTTCCTTGTCTTGTGCTGGGTAGGAACTTAAAACTGTGATGAAAAGACATCTTGGTAGCTAGGACTTGCCCTTTTCCAGCCTTATGTCAGATAATTTGACTTGTGTCCTTTGTGGAGGCAGGAGTTAGATGTGATGACCCTTATGGGTCCTTTCCAACTCAGGATATTATATGATTCTACTACTCTAAGTGTCACAATATTTGACGATGAGAACTACACCTGGAAACTAATTTATTTCAAAAGAAATCAAGCTCTACACCCTGCCTTTAATCTATGTGTTGCACAGAAAGAGACTTTGTTATGGATCTTTATAGTCTCACTAGGAGAAAAAAAAATCACAGGCTGACTGCTCCCCTAGCTGAAATGCAACTAAGGTCACTGACACATCTTGAGGCATCCAACAACTGCTCAGAAATGACAAGAGAGAACATCTCACTATGGTGATGTAACGCAATGTTATTGCAAGTAGAAATAATATTTAGTCAAGGAATGTGGGGAAGGAAAGAGGGCGAGTGCCGAGGATACACAGAAGGCAGATGCTGCTAATTCAAGGTGGCATAACTGAGGCGCTTGAGCTGCTTGTGATTTGCAAGGAGATCAAATACAAGTCTTGGGATGCCGTGATTCCCATGCAGCTGGAAGTGGGGCTGTGCTGGCAGCAGGCTCTGCCAGCAGGAAGCAAGCTGCTAAGTCTGCTGTGCTCTTTCTGTAAGCTTACATGAGCCAAGATCCTTGCTATGGGGCGACAGACGTGCAGGATGTCACTCACGAACTGCTCTCAGAGCTCCCTTTTATCCCTCATCTCTGAGATGTCTGGTAGGTGTAGGTTGTTGGCTGTATGAGGTTTTGGTATGGGACTAACAGCACAGGAAACCATTAATGCAAGGGTAATGTAACAGTGAGGCAAGTAACTACTTATCCTCTAAATAATTCCATCATACAGGCCCATGCTATTTCTCAGTTTATCACTATATTCTGGAATTCAGAGACATTCTGGGCTCAGTTGAAATTACTTACTTGATGTAAGTATACAAATTATACATTAACTTAATCAAATTGCTTGAGAAGAACACGCTAGAAATGAAAGTGTAAGGACTGGCTCTCTGCCTCTGTGGTCAGTCAGTCACCACTTCACCAAAGGAAAGTTTTATCCGTCACTTCAAACCTAATCTTCAGATAGCTGTAGCAAGGGATAAGAAGGTATCATGTTAGTCAGCACTTTTTCCTGAAACCTGTACTGAGATACTAAAGTGTGTGATTTGGGTACTTCTTAGGAATTAAGGACATGGAACAGACTGCAGGTATGCAGTACTGTATGGTACCAGGAGTCCTAACATCCTCCTCTGGCAGCTCTGCTTGGAAATGGCCATACCTGCACATCATATGTCCACCAGCATGACATGACATGTGGGTTTATTAGCTACATCTCTTAGCAAGAAAACTTGTACACTATTTCTCCTATTTCTTTTAGTGTCTTAGATGAAGGCCTCAGCTCAGCTAGCTAGCTGGGCTCAGGAGGCAGCACTGGGAAGGGACAAGGCTCCTCCATGGTAAGACATTGGATGAATCATTCCCTGGAGGCGTCTGCTCTGCACAGGGAGCCAACATGATTACCTGAGCCCAGGCACAGCTAAAATTAGGGAGCTGTCTTCCAAGTAAATACTAATGAGCAGGGCATCATAAGATCTGAAGTTATTTCAATTGTGATGGAAAATGGTTGTAAAATGGTAAAAACAGGCTATTTATGATTCAGTCAGCCTCCATCTGATCATCTACAGGTATGGAGAGGTATTTTTAAAGATAGAAAGGCAGCGAGGACCACTAATCTTTTTTATTATTATTATTTTTATGCTCTTTGATGGCTTTCATGCAATTCTGGTCTGAAAAAAAATCCTACTTACTGACAGTAATACCTTGAAAAATCCAAAATAGCCTCTCAGATGAGTCAGCCCAAAATCACAGCGCTATTAAATCCCATGCTTTTGATTGGGCCCAATTCAGAAATGTTTAGACCAGATTCTGATACAATTACTAATGTCAAGTAGCACTTCCATGAATTATCGTGCTGGTTGCAATTCGGATGAAATGCTATTTTTAATTCCTCATAAATCAAACCAAAAAAAAAGGAAGCTGAGAGGAAAAAAATAATAAACAGTAAGAAACAGACCACAAATCAGTCTTTTATTGAGCAAAGTTCTATTCCTATTATAGAATTTCATATTTTCCTCAATGTTTGCTCTTTAATACCTGTCCTTTTCTGGACTCTCTAGCAATGCTGCAGCCTACTGCTTGGTGACCTTGACCCAAGCTTAAATGCTGAATAACAAGCTTTACATAAACCCAACAAAAAAGTATACCTGACATCAGCCAGCATTCCAAGAGTTGTTTTTTTCCTCCAGTTTCTGCGAAATCAAAATAACATAAACATCCCAGAATGTTCTAGGCACAATCTGGTGAGGATCTGAGCAATCCTAACTCTGACTAACTTTTACAGCAGGTGTCCCAGCTTCAGGTCTGGAAAGTTATTTGCTTGATCCACATGAAGAAAACCACTCATTAACACCCTTTAACACAGAAAGTGTCATGAATAAACCCTTTGGTGTTTCTTATAATAGTATTACTCATGCTGCCTAGTGTAATAGATCTGTGCTATCCCCCCAAAACCAATGCTGTTAGGGAGTCGGTTGCGTGGAAGCTGAATGTCTTGCAATCTATTCAAGGACTTTGTTTTGCCAGTCTAGTTCATATTGGGCTGCGTGCTTTTTGAGAGCAAACTGATTCATTTCCATCACAGCATTTTGGATAGTAGGCTACTGCTCAACAGAAACACAGAACAGCAGATAAAGTCCTGCAAAAAAAGGTCGAGATATTTGATAGCAAATCAGTGAAGCTGCACTGAGCTGCACTGGTGGTCAACCTGCCCAAGAACAACAACTATTTTCAATTCTTATTTCAACATTACAGACCATTTCTCACTGAACAGAGGCACATTTATCAAGAAGCCTTTCCAAATGCATCGTCTGACTGTGATATTTTTTACTTCTTGTTTGCTTTTCTTAACAAGGAATTGTTCCCTTCAGTCACTGTGGAATCCTATAGCACAATCACAAACTGAACGTTAAAATGGGTCATTCTATTCTGAACTTTCCACTGTAGGTGTGACAGAGAAAACTCTTACTTAAGCATCTGCCACAACAATGACAAACTACGAACTATTAAAAAAAAATTAACTGAATTTAATTTACAATGCATCTTGTATAACCGTTCATTTTGCCTTTGGTTCTGCACTCACATTTTCTAACCTGTTGCATTATAATCATGGAGCTGTTAGATGTGATTACATTACCTTCCTGAATTAGGAGAAAAATCACCTTGTAAATGTGGGAGCTACAGTGCAAAAACTTCTGCATGTACAACAGCTTCAGGAAAGCCTTTACAAATCCACTGCTTGTTCACACCAACATTTACCTTCCATTTCTGCATGAAAATGTTTAACGTGTTTTGGCCAAATTAGGCTGCTGATTCTCCTCGGTAACCGTGGAAGACCAATTAATTTCTTTTATACTATGGAGCAGTGTGACTGATACCTTTTGTACACAGTAATTTTACAGCTACCTTTCCACAGAAAATCCCAATGTTGGGACATTCATTTTTAGAACAAAACAATATTTTGCTTAGCTTTGAATGTTGGTTTCAATATTGCTTGGCTTGACACAGGGAAAATATGGCTTCCTTAGCATAAATTCAAGCAGGCAGGTCTTCATAACTCAGTTTAATGCATGCACCTGCGAACCGAGGTTTCTAACAACCAGCCTGGCTAGCTATACATGCTCAAGTGAAATAATAGCATATCCTTCTTGGCTTAGAGGGAATGCAACTCTACAGACTCTCCTGTTATCCCCTTCCTCATCCTCTGGTCCCACATGGCTAGGTTTTATATTCTGCTAGCACTAAAACATAAGAGATTTGCTATCACTGTCACCAGCTTTGGGTACCTCAGACAAAAATGGAGACTTCAATTATTTCCCACGTAATACGAAGTAGAGCTTCCAATAAAGCCAAAGTCTATTGAGTGCTTTCACTCTGAAGGGCTTTACAAGCATACATTGCTTGTTTACCCGCCTCTACTCAACTCCAAACATATCCTTTTACGAGGTCATTGCAACTAACAGTGTGATGTCTTGAAGTGAAGGCAGTGGGCATCCAGCACTGAAGTGAGCCCTGCTTTAAGCACAGGGTTTGGCAAATAGAAATCTACCCATACTCCTCAATCCAACTTCCTGATTCTGCACAAGTGATGGGACTCTAAGTGTCTTCTGATGTCTGAGAACTATAGACAGAAAAACAATAGCATATCCTTTCTGCTGAAAAATACACTGTATCTCAGGTATTAGGGCTAGAGAAAAGAGATACCTCCAAACTTGTCTTTGACTTCTCTTTGTTCCATGATTTGTTCTCTAGGATGACACTTCGCATGTTTTGTTGGGCTTGGTTTAGTTTTACTCAGCTTTCAAACCTCATCTGCAGGCAGAGCCTGTAGCTCAGCTGAGATGCCTTGTTCAGTGTTGTGGTCCGTTGGATCTCCCCTTCACATCTATATATCCAAGCAGCCACTGAGTGCCACTGGGGAGGGTATGATGCCAATCCCACCATTAACAAGAATAACTTCACTATTAACCAGCATAACTTCACTTTAGTGTGTGACATTTTCCCGCTGCGATAATCGCTCCTACGCAGTCACATGAAAATCTGGTTGTGGGCACCCCGTGTGTCACGGGTTGCAACTGACCGCGTGTTCATCAAGGTAGCTCATTCTCACACAACCATCTGATGATACGCCTTTGCCAGCGGGCCATGTCCGGGGAATTACGCTTGAGGACTCAGCGAAAACTTTCTCCTATTAGGGTCTGGGACAGAGGAGTGTGCTGGGGTCAGGGGCTCTGTTTGAACAACCTTCTTTGAGACACAGAAGATAACGCCCAAACAGATAGCAATTTTTGATGCAGAGAATGCATACCAATGGAGGTAACAGCACAGGAGTGTTGCAAGGCATCTGGAGGGAAAAATACCCAAATAGCTGGCATTGCCTAGACGTTGCTTTCTCAACAACTGACAGCAAGAATGATCTCTCCATTTCTATCAGTTTTTTCCCAGCAATATTTGCTGGCTGCCAGAGCTGTGACCCTACCTTGGCTTCACATTTCCTGACCCAAGAATATTCCCGGTTCACCCTAATCACAGCTATTTTGAGATAACTAATTAACAAGTCTCCCCAAGAAGAAATGACCCATGGCTAATCTGGTTCACCTTACTCCGGGAAAACTCTGACCTCAGCAAACTTTCAGCAACTATTTCCAGTACATGTACTATCTTTATTGCCTTTGTTATCTGAAAAAGGGGGCTGAATTTGGAACATATTTGTACAGGGCACAACCTGTGCTGAATGCATTTAGAAATGTCATAGTTTGCATTTAGACAGCTGATGAACTAACAAGGCAAGAAATTAACTCTCCCTCTCAACCAGCTTCATCTTACCTTATCTTCAATCATAAATGGTAGGTGGTCATTCTCCCACATATACCAAATGTTGCATCTCCTTATTAGAAGAGAGCAATGGCAACACTAGATAAAATTGCCTGGTGCTTGTTTTTCAGTAAGTCCATTTTAGTACTTAATATCTGTCATATATAATCCAGATAGACTGTTTTTGTTTTACTGCATTTTTTTTAACTATACTGAAATGATAGCTGCATGAGGCTTAATTGAAACGGTAACTTTGAGGAAAGATATTGGAAGACATTTAAAAGAACAAGATTATGGGAAAATACTTTGATTCCTTTCATAAATAGAAATTCTAATGTCACTGCAACAAGTGTCAGCTGGATATTCAGTTTATGACTCTGACTTGAAATTCGATGGAAGGAACATTCACGTGCCAAATTCATGCATTTTTGTCAAATTCAAATCACATCTATCCTATGCAGTAGTCTCTAAAAAAACCTGCATGGACTCATGCTGCCTGGAAAATAGCAGATGTGCTGGGGACAGTGTTGCCTGCAACTGCCTCCCCACTGCCCCCAGCCACCACACACATGATGAGGGGCTGGGAGCAGGTTCTGCTTCAGTTCCCACTCAGTACTCAATGCTCAGCTGGCCGTAGCCTGGGAGAAGATGAAGACACCCTAACTTGAACAGCAGCTGGTGAGGAATGAGGAGAATTGAGGAATAAAAGGATAAAGAAAGGAGCAGTGATGCTGCGCTCAGAGGGAAGGGAGAAGGAAACAAAAGAGTCATAGAGTCAATAGAATATCCCAAGTTAGAAGGCACCCATAAGGATCATCAGGTGCAACTCCTGGATTTGACCCACAGTAAGACTGGATTTTGGCCCATCTCTTGATTTCTGTATTTCTCTGTGGTGGTCAGGATGACAGCTGGGATGCAAAACTATAATGTTTCCAGCGATCCACCCAGAAGTGACTGCATGCTACTGCTACCCTGCATTCTGTTGACATGACCTTCCAACAAATAGGTTGGGTACTGGTGTGAGTCTGCACGAGGGAGATTCAAGCAGGTCTGGCCATTTTAATCAAGAGAAAATGATTGAATGCCAATGCTCTGCAAATAAACCAGGGCTATGCACTGAAAGAAGCAACGGGCTGTGTGATTCCCATCTTATTGGTTTTAAAAACTGCAAATTGACCATGGCCAATCACAGTTTCAGCATTTATAAACTGTCTGGCATTTGACTAGCACCAGTCTTACAATAAAAGTTTGTTTTTGCGATTTAATACAATTTCTCATTTTCCAGTGCATAATATAGTTTTGCTGCTCACTAGCATCAGTAAGAAATACTTAGTGAAAGAATGAAAACACCAGATCTAATTTTTAAATATTATTGTCTAGAACAGAACAGTTACAGCAGAGTACCATGCTTTCTTCAGTCAACTGCATTAATTTTTGGCTACTGCTTTTAAGCAGAGCTGCCAAAAAAATGTTTAGATCCTAGGGACATTTGTAAGCCCTGAAGGGCTCCCTTACCTCATTCAATCATCTTTCTCACACATATAGAGATGCAGATTTTTGCTGACTTCAGGGGCATTCATATACCCAATAAAACATCTCTGTCTGATCCCATCTGAGCAGCTCTGTTTTTATTTATAATAACCCTTGAATTTTCAAGGAAACATTCAGCTAACCCTATTTTTCCTAACCCAGATTTAAAGGGATACAAGAAATTTTTCTGAGATAACATTTGAAATAGAACTCACTCAGAAAAGAAATAACTTGGAATGCTATTTTTTCTTACAGGCTTAATTAAAAATATAACTTCAAGCAGCAGGGTTTAAAAGTGTTTGGTTGTGTTTTTTTGAGGTGTTTTGGTGTAGGATGGTGTTAATAAATAATAAAATACTGGCTTATTAAAAGTAGTAATCTGAATGTCAACTGTTATCCAAGGTAATTAAGTAAAATACTCTACACATAATGCATCTCATGTCAGATGGAAGTTATTGGACATGTTAATCTTTACACCTTTTAAAATAAGTGGAAGAAAGTCCCTGGGACTCAAGATCTCTGCAGACAGTTTCTATTAACTACCCTGTATACATCTAATAGAATATTATATACCCTGCATTGTATATGTACACCCAGCATACAAGTAATAGAAACATCCTAATCATGTTAGTTCTCTACTGAGCTGGATCATACACATATTTTAGAAGGCAAAGTCCTCATTGGCCAAGTTGGAAATATCAACTTCTTTTTTTTTTTTTTTTTAAATATAAAATAACTATAGTACAAAATATGATTAAAAAAAATGCCCAGCATGTTAGGAGCTACACAGGAACTTTGAGCTTGCTTGTGGCTTATCTCACTTTGGAAATCCAAAGTCTAATGTTAAAAAGTAAATTTGGAGCATGACAGTATCTAAGAAATGAAGTGCATCCAATGAAATCCTATTGCAAGCAGTCAGAGTAACTTGGTATGAACATGGAGACAAGTCTGATAAGAGAACAGGGGGGTTCTCGCCCCAGCATTGCAATGAAACACACAGGTCCCAGCATTGCAATGAAACACACAGGTCCTTACCTTCGGGGAAGCAATCTTCAGGCTCCATCAGCTCCTCAGCAAACTCAGGGATCTGCTCCAGCAGTTCTGCAGGATTTGTCAAATCCACCGTGCTGCCTTCAGAAAGACTGATTTCATCAAGCTTGTTGTCAACAAGAGCAAAGATGAGGAAAACAAATTGATCAATCGCCCCAAAGGAAGTAGCTGAGTCCTTATTCCACTAACCAATATCCCAGCCAAAGCAGTCACGACAGTGAAATGGCCATGCTCAAGTGACAGCTCTACCTACACTAACTGTGGTGAGCTAACAGTGGACCCATCCTCAAGAATAGCAAAAAAACTGAATGGCCATATTTACTTACAAAAAAAAAAAAAAAGAAAAAAAAGTGAAAAAGAATAACTCAAGAATGATTGTGAACAACTACTGAATACTAATAGTAGGTGGAAGTCTGGAATGACCAAACTATTCAGAACTATAAAGATTTCACATTCTTCCCTCCTATCTGATGGATTCAAATCGATGGAACCCAGCTGCTGAAAAGCTGGGGGAGGACTTGGAGGACTCATGCTGGGTTCCAGCCTCCTGGACATGAGGCTCAGCACCCAAATCTTGTGGGTTCATATTGCCTCTGGCAGCCAGGACCACGTCCTCCTCTCTTCTGCTGTGGCTTCTCCTACAGGATGAGCAGAAGTCTTTCTGTCATGTTCTGCTCACAAGATGACACACCATGTTCAAGTGAGAAGGCTCTTTCACCTTCCTCATCCCACATCCCCATCCTGGGATGGGACCCATTCACCTCCAGCTCCACACTTCTGCTCTCAAGATTTAGGAGGAGGGACACAAGAATTTCAAGGCTTTTTGGAGGACCTATCGTTTGCTCCAAATGTTTGATCCCCAGTCTAAAGTACATTGTTTAAAAACACCTCAAATCCTTTTCTGCAAAACGGGGACAAATACATTCCCACCTCCTGAAGCATTGGTCATTTTATCTTCTTAGAGCAAGAAGTCTCAGGAAATGTGGGAAAAAAAGTCTGGAGAATGGATTCTTGAAGAAAAACTGGTTTTAAGGCTATGTGGGAAATTGGGTTAAATAAAGCAATGGATTTTCATGAAAATTTGATGCCTAATTTTGAATTTTGGCTGCATTTGTTCCTAAAACAGTGATACAAGATAACATAAACCACCCAAATAAGAGACAGAAATTTTATTTCAGATCAAAGCTTTCTTCTGACATTAAACATTTTTTAAGAAGACAGGTTTTTTTTTTTGTTTTTTTTTGTTTGTTTGTTTGTTTGTTTGTTTGTTTGTTTTAAGTTTAGTGGTCAAAATAATTGTGTTATAGGTCTGTGTTAATCCAGAACTATATTTTTCTTGATTACTCAGCTAGGCCATTATAGTTCAAGGTCTATTATTTACTCAGCCCTGCTCAGTATTTGCTTTTGACTCTGTAAAAGCGGTATCTGGCACAAGGTGGTTTATTTGCAAACTGTCTTACTTTCTTCCCTGAGTACCTACTGAAACATTGCTGTGCTTAATGTCATAATACTGTTGTTTTCATTTTAAAAATGAGGACAATACTACTTTACCCAGGCTTCTAAACAAGGGATACTTATATGAGATAGTTATATGAAAGACGGAACGTGCACATAAATTATTATTTCCATGAAGATGACAGACTTAGAGAATAGGTACAGCTCTGTGTATTTATTATTAATGTGAAAATGGGCCCTCTGTTTTCCAGTGTACAGAGGCAATGCAAAATTTATAGCTGGATTCAGAGAAATGCTGAACCTGGGGTAAAACGAGCAAGACTGAACATTCCAGCAATACTTGTAAGCAGGATGGAAGCTACGTGTTTGCAATTAGCTGCAGCATCCCAAAGGTCATAGTCTTGGCTAGGGCTTTTAATGCTCTGCTCAGAAGAGCAAACAATCAAGAAGAGATCATTTAAAAAGAGAGCCAGGCCAGAAAGCACAGGTCAAAGACATGGCCAAAGCTTCTAAAAAATCCATATTCAGAATGCAGCTGTCATACAGAGAATAGCCAGTTTTCTACAGGCTACAAACAATATATGATGGTAGAAAAAATGTCAGGTTTTCATACTATCAGAACTTTCTGTTACTGTTCATTAGGGAATGCATTTAGTCATTATTTCTTCTGTTATGAAGTCGTCAACAGACAGAACACTGAAGTAGTCCTAAATCACACACAACTGCAGGATGTAGAAAATAGGGGTCCCGATGAGAAAAGAAGCCTTGTTGGATACAATTCTAACCAACAGGGAGAAATCAAAGAACATTGTGAGAAAAATGTCAGCTCAATAGCGTCATCATTGGGAGTGCTGTATTTAGCAGAGACAGGTTGGGAAATTCAGAGAACACAACTGCAGGACACAGTGCAATTATATTAGACTACAAGGAAACATCTTAAAGAACTGAGAATGCTCGAGAGTTATCTATGAGGAGGAGTTTTCAGAAATCATTAGAATCCATCAGTGTCAAAAGGAGATGGGGAACATGCAAGACAACACGGACAGGATTTATTTTGAAAAGCCTTCAAGGAAGAAGAGGCAGTGACTGTGGATTCAGAAAACAAGGCAAAGGTTCTGGGGTCTGAACAGGGACTAGAAAAAGAATTCACACATATGAGAGAGGAGGGAAAGGTTAGAAAAGCTTGTGGGAAAAGAAGCAGAAGTTACTCTTAGCCAGAAAGGTGAAAGGGATTGTTTTCATGAACGCTGTGAGAAAAGAGGCATAAAAGTGATTTATGAGGGAGATGGGACTAATGAAAATTCAGTTGCCTAAGAAAATAAAAGCTTTTTAAAAGACCAACAAAGCGATCAATAAAAAGGGAATGAGGGCTTGTTAGAATTAGCAGAAATGTAAGCAGGGAAATATCTAGAAAACCTAAAACAAATGTAAATCAGCAGATCCAGCAAATGCACATGGCAGAGCATGGGCGTGCAGGGATCTGACACACGTTAACACACCATTTGCAATCAATAGCAAATGCTCATGGAAAGCTGGAAAGAGCCCAGGAGAGCAGCAATAAGCAAATACAATACTGAGCTTAGAGAAGAGTAAGAGGGAATAATCATGGGAATCACAGATCACCAAACTCTTGCTGCAGCTTGTAATTAAAGTGAATTAAATAAACTCAGCGGAGAAAAGTAGAGTGCTTTCTTGGAGGGCAGCTGAGTGACACATCAAACAGACATGAAGACAGCGAGGCAGCTCTCCTGTCTGCCACCAGTCTGTGCACAAGTGGGAACCAACAGGCCAAAATAAGTCAAACAGGACAAAGAATGTCCCCACTTTCTGTTGGAGAGGTGTACCAGGGAAAGGCAACATCAGAAACCTCTTTGGAAGATCTCCCACCTGAGCTGAGGCGGTTTTTAATGTGTTTCTGGGTGGTGTGGTTCTGTCCAGAATGGCTTCCTCACCCACTGCTTGGCTCTCCAGTAGTGGCAAACTGATGGGAATTTTTTTTTTTTTTTTCCCAGAAAGCTTGTAACAGTGAGAAGCTGCAATCTCACTGGAAGTTGGTGTTTGCTCAAGATTTAGCTCTCTTATCTGCCTTCTCCATCTCTCCATAACCTCTGAAGACTGCAGTCTTAATCTATCAAACTGACAGATGATGTATAAACCTGGATACAATATCTGTGTTTCTATAATAGAAAAGCTGACTTTTGAAATAAAGGCACTGGCTTGGATTCCCTCCTTGCTTCATGGAGAAAACCCATGCTAACGACCCAAATGTAACAGAAACTTCACCTTCAGAGGAGACCTGAAGGGATTAGAGTTAGCACCAAAGATACAGAAGAGAAACTGACCAATATAATTTTCACAGTGATGGATAATACTAAATTCAAGAGACTACTGAAACTGGGGAGAAAGAAAGTGAAAAAACACATGGAAAGAGTATAGCACAGTGAGACTGGACTCAAAGCACTACAGATGAGTGCAGGGATAGCACATCAGTGGGTAACCTGGAAAGCTGTAATCTCAAGTCACCTGGGGTAATATTAAGAGATCAGACATGATTTCATAGTGGGATATTGTGATGCAAATACCCTACTTGGAAACATCACGTCTAGGCAATGAGATACTACTTTTCCTCCTTATTGTTCTGTGGGAATTGTATTTGGAAACTGCTTAGTTCTTGGCAAAACAATTCTAATTGAGTTGTAAAAAAAAAAAAGAGAGATAAATGAGTTAGATAAAGGGTGCAGAGATACTCACTGACAAGAAATAATGAAAGAACAAAGGCACGTGACTTTAGGGAGTAAGCTAAATGCAGAAGGAAGCTAGTAATGCTCTATTAATTTATATTAATTCATAAAATGAAAATGACATAATAACTGGTAAAAGAAGGTAATGAAATAGCATTTTGAAAGGAAAAAAATAGTCTGATTATTAAGGCATTACACCCAGCCACATTTTTTTTTTAAATGAGTGAACTATTCCCTTTGATAAATAAAGAAGTCAAAGTGGCCTGACACATTTAAAGGCAGATTCCAAACAGCCGTACAAAATATTTTATGGGCCAGTGTTTTGGCAAAGAAATCAACTGGTATGTTCTCTGAGTTCTGTGCCACCAATGATTTTATTTCTATGGTGCCTTACTGATGATTTGTACAGGATGAATTTTTAATCATATAATGTATCCTTTACTGACATGAACAGTGTTTTAGTCAGAACACATTCGATGCTTCCTGTTATTGACTGAACAACTCAGAGCCTCGTCTCTTGGGCGTATCAAATCCCTTAAGTTACTTCCTCACAGTTGTTGGCTGTATCTGGCTAGCCCCAAGTTCTTGGGACATTCATCAAAAAGATTAGCATGTCCTCGTGTGTCGGCACAAAGATTACTTCTGAACAGGAGGACTGTAAGGATGCAATGTCCACACAAGATTTAGCCTTCAAAAATAGCATCCTTTGGGCTTTGCTCTTTCATGTTGGCATTCGTAGCCTCATGTGAACTTCCGTTTGATTTCAAGTCATCCCTGGATTATTGCCATATTCCTCCACCTCTTTTTGAGCAGCCACAAATAGAATCAATTATACTCTACTATAGAAAGGTGACATTTGTGTTACAGGACCCTTTGAAAGTTGAGGGAGGAAATGGGGATTATTACTTTATCGCAGTGTTGCTGAATATATCAGAGCTAGAATGTTCCTGTCTTATGACATTTCATTGTAGCACTAAAAAAGGATGTAGTTGTAGTTGTTGCCAACACATCAGGGTTTATGTATCTTAAAAATACAGTTAAACAGGAAGGATAGGAAATCCCCTCTAAGAAAAAATCTGGAGATGGTGTTCTAATTTCTCCTAGATACAATTCTTCGTCTCATTAGTTTGAAATCTGGAGTATCTCTTAAGTACATACAAATTCTTTTTATCCAAGATTATGACATGAAATGCTTGAGCTTCCTTCCTCTAAGGTCCGGACCTTTTTTTGCTGAATACAAAATCCAATATGCCAGTAAGTATTCTGGTGAGATTGCTCCTGAAAGAAACCAGGAGCATTTCTGGTGACTGGAAGTGAAGTTGAGCTCACCTAAGTGTAATCTACATGACACAGACATTCACAGCTCAGTTTGTTACTCTGGTGTCCCCTTACAGCCAGAAGAGAAAAACAGGTACTTATAAAATGCGCTTCATCTGGTCTACTTTAAATGTTATTTCAGCAGGATATGAGACACTTTCACCTAACTATATTGGCTCCAGATCCTCATTGACTATTAAAGGGTCTCACATGACAAATCTAGAAGCAGATGTCCCCCCTACGTGACAATATGACTCAGCAGGCTGCTGAAGATGAGCTGCTCTGTGGCAGCCCAGTTTCCATTGCCCTGTCAGGATTTCCGCATGGGATTTCTCCTGGTGGGCACAGTCTCACCAACACAACAAGAAGCAACCTGCACTTTGCCCGATATGAACTGAATGACACCAAAGCTTTCATGTCAGGTACATAAATTCTTGCACTTCTCATGGGCCTATACTTTTAACATGAAAAAAAAACCACCAACAGTTAATATGCCCCAGACCCCCACACAGATCGGTGGCATGCACTATGGAGCTGGCGTGACAAAGGGCATGCAGCATCAAACAGGAAATTGGTTTCTGTTACCTCTTTTTGCCCTACTGGAGGTGGTGGCTCAGCCTTCAACTGCTTATCCACGTGCAACTCACTTAACTCTTCACAAATCTCAGAGTTCTGACTCCGGGCGCCTGGGCTTTGGCATCGCTGCCCCCTCAGCTGCAGCTGCTTTTCCTGCTGGAAATAATCCTAGATGGGTTTACTTTCCTTTTCTTTGATAGCATGCTTAGTTCTTAAGGAGATCTCCCCAGCTAGAAGAGAAAATAGCCTGAACTACACTTATCAGAGGATGACATCTTAAGGAAAAATGGCAAGCAACAAGATTACACAAGCTTATGCTGTAACTTTTCAGGTTTAACAACTGGATATGTCAAGATAACTGGCTGTAAAAAAGGAAATTACAGATAGACCGGCTTATTGTTTTTGAACTGTTGCTGGGGGGCAGGAGGAAATTTCCTTCCCTTCTCCATTTTCAACCCAGTTTGGAGGCACAGGTTTTTGCAGAGACCCAGGGCACAGAAAGGGGCTTGCAGCTCAGCCGAGGGCTGCAGGGTGTGCTCAGCGACCAGAGGTGATATTTAACATCATGGCTGGAAGAAGGTGCGAGCACAACGCCCAGTGCCACACCACCGCTCTGCTCCAAATGGCATGGGAAAACAAGCTACAGATTCACAGGAGAAAGCTAAAGGTATCCAAAAGTAGAGATGAAAACCTGCAGGTGGACATGTAAATGTGTGCAGTGCCTACTCAGGAAAACACTTCAGTGTCCTTTGCACCCACTGATGTCAACGGGACTTAACCACAGGTTGGAAGGAGAGCGCATCCATAAATACTTCACTAAAAAGGGATGCACTGCGGAATCAGAGCAATAATTTTTTTTCTGCAAACACATCTGAGCAGACCCAGTGCTTGGCAGCAGAAGCGGCACCATTAAACTCAGCCATATTGTCCTGGGGCGATGATTCCTGCCGCTGTGCTCCCTCCAAGTGCTGCCAGGACTAATGGCAGAGCAGAGCACGTTTGCATGGTTGGCTCCTACATCTGGAGGCCCAGGTTCACCGCTGGTGTAAATCAGTTCAGCTTCATTGATTCACCTGTGGTAGGGATTTCTCTGAGAACTCCACGGCTCTATACAGCACTGCCATCGTTCATGCCATTGCTAATGCTGCTACTGAATTATTAATAAAACTCAAGCTGATTTCAAAGGGCTGTGCTGAATTGCTTACAGAAGGACTTCCATGCTGAGAAAAAAATTACAAGCATAACAGGATTTCAACAGTAATTATTTAAACATATTTATCTTCTGCTCGTCCACCTTTTTTTTCCCTTTGGCTTGAGTGGCATTCGGTGTTATTAATGTATTAAACAAGCTTCTCCTCCCCGGGGAGCAGCAGCCTACCTGCTTTCGTTCTAAAGCCACATCACCACAGAAAGTCCCTCAAGAGGAACCGGCAGCAGAAAAACACTTTATTCCAAATATAACCATCTGAGAGAACAGATGACACAAAGGAAGCAGTTGGTTAAGCAAATTGCTCTCCATATAAATACCTTCGGACTGTCAGGTTTGTACCAATCCTTTAAACGTCGTTCTGTGTTTCTAGTAAATTAATTCAAAATCAAATTACTTGTTTCCTGCTTCAGAAGGCATGTGGTCTAAAATATATTCCAACTTTAATAAATTAAATTACGCACATCCAAGCCCGTACCTTCTGCATGAGAATGCATTACATACAATTTCTACCACAGAATCACAGAACTATAGAATCATATCATGGAATCATAGAACCAAGTATTCAAGGCACAGTTTATCACTGATTTTCACAATCTATAATCACTGAATCCCTGACAAAAAGTAACACTTTTAAAAGAGCATCTCTGGAAATACTCTGTTATTCAGGGGAGAACACAGAATCATAGAATCATTAAAGTTGGGAAAGATCACTAGGATCATACAGTACAACCATCAGTTCATCACTACCACGACCACTCAGTGCCACAAAATGCTAACATGGGAAGCACGTATACTTGAGTAAGGCACTAAGCCATAGAAAGTTGCATGTTTTTTTTGTTTTTGTTTTTTGCTTTAATGCAATGTGCATACAACTTAGTACCAAGTAATCTTAACGGCAGCGTATCAGTTATAGCGCTAAAACAACAGAAACAATTGTTTCATGTTGAAAGTGCAATGCAATCTAGGGTGACATCTCAAGTTCACTTATACAGAAAGGTTGTGCACTCAGATTCATTAGAAATGAAGGCATAAATGAGAACAGACTGTGTAACTCAGTTGATCTGACAAATATCCAAGCTGTTAAGCAAATTATTGCACTGAATAACTAAGCTAGTGTCAAGTGAAAAGCTTATACTGTTGCATGGCACCAAAACTCAGGAATATTTTCATAGAGACTAAACTCCAGGAACACAGCCCCAGCTACTTCCCAGAAACTGCATTTGTACCAGGCATCTGATGAGTTAATATTAATTAATAGTGATGGAACACATCATGGCAAATCACCCAACAAGATTAGCAAATTGGGTTTCTGCAATGGCTGATGCCAGCCCCGGTAAGCCACTCTCCTGGGATGGAGTCTCAGTTCCAGCACACAGTGCCTGAGGATCAGCAGGAACCTGTCCGGGGCAAGGTATGCTCCTCACAGTCTGCTTCACTTTGGACTATTTGCTTTTGCTCAAATTCCAGATGATTTGCTCTTCTGGAAGCAATGACAGCAGGTTTATCTCCTGTAAAGCTCCCCACCATGGGTGGTTTATGTCATTTGTTTTTAATTTTTATATCAAATGCCATGTTGGAAAGGCAATACAGATTATGTTAGTATTTATTGATTCAGTTGTTCATCATTTACAATGTAAAACTTTTCAGCAGCACAACAACTTTGTGCCCTCAAATGGCTGATTGGAAGCCTGGAATGTACGTCAGCTCCTTTGGAGCAGCAGCCAGAAGTTTGCTCACCCCTGTTCAGATCTGGGCCCTAAAAAGAGGTGTTCAGCCAACACTGTGCCAGGGATTATCACATGGAGGAGGATGGATCATGTCCTGTTGCCCTGCATGCTGCAGATCATTGGCAGCAATAGGAAAACAGCAACCGGATTGAAACCAGAGTATAATTTGGATTACATCTCAAGTGTGTGTGTGCACAGACCCACATACTTGTTTGATGGCACAAATAAATACAGAGGCTCCACACCACATCCTGCCTCTGAAAACCATGGATCAGCTAATTGTTTTGGGCTCAAATGGGGATTAGTGCAAATGCCGATCCCTTGCAAAGAAGACTTGCTGTTGGCAAAGCAAGATAAATACCTGTCATCGGTGCGGATTTGCTTTATTCCTTACCCGTGGAAACAGCACTTTTTCCATCCTGTGCAAATAAATTTAGAAAGATGATCCCCAGGCTTTCCTCTTTGATGGGGATCAGCTCAGATGGGTTCTCCTGATGCTTCACTCACTGCCTGAATTGTGAACCTGGCTTGGAGCATTTGTCTCCTCATTCCCTGGCTGTGGTTGTCATGGAAAGGATGTGCAGGAAATGTCCTCTCCCATGCAGGTGGGGATGTACAAAAGTAGCTGGCTCACTGCTGAGCTAGCAAGCACATACAAAGGATGTGGCAGGATTAAGTTGTAACATATTTCATGAGATTGGCACTGGATGGGACAATGCAAATGCAAACTGCCCTCTACTCTGTCCACGGAACGTGGGAGAGCATTAGTCCTATCATCTTTTCAGCACCCCACCAAGATCACAGAATCACAGAATCATTAAGGTTGGAAAAGACCTCTAAGATCATCTAGTTCAACCAACCCATCAGCACCACACCCACTAAACGTGTCCCTGTGCCTTCTTGCAGATCTTTTTCAGTCACTGCCCATTGCACAAAGCAACACCAGAAGTGGAGGACACTGGCGACAGAAGCATCACTGCCTTAGCCATTTGTAGATAACAGTATGATCCTAAGCCTCCTCAAGAAATGCTACTGAATAGAGCAGCAATTAATCCTTCAACAGCCAACAACATATCTTATGGAATCATGGAATCACAGAATTGCTTGAGTTGGAAGCGACCCTTACAAGTCATCTCATCCAACTCCCCTGCAATGCACAGGGAAAACACAGCTCCATCAGTGCCCCATTCAGCCTGACCTTGAGTGTCTCCAAGTACAAAGCATCCACCAGCTCTCCGGGCAACCTGCACCAGTGCCTCACCAACCTTACTGCAAAGAACCTATGCCCTATATCCAGACTAACTCTCCTGTTTTACTTTGAAATCTTTTCCCCTTGTCCTATCACAACAGACCCTGCTAAAGACTCAGTAACCTTCAGAGCTTCCTACAGTCAGCTCTGGGACATGAAAACTGTAACAAGAACCTGAGTAATTATTCACGTACAGCAAATCCAGCTCAGTGGCAGAACACATGTAGTTACCAGAGGACTGTATACTCCAGCAAGTAACTGTTGATGTTTATGTTCCTCCTTGCAGACAGCTATGGATTTCCCAAAATTACAGTGCCTGGAAGCTATTGGCATCCTTTCTGGGCAACAGTTTGCATCCAGTAACTGGCATCCTTCCTGTGCAGAGAAGCCAAGAAGTAAATGATCGTGAAAGCTGAAATGTTTATATCCTACCTCTGCTCAAGGGGAGAACCAAGCACACTGCAGTGCTTGCCGAAAGCAAGTGTGCCATACCACCCAGCAGCACCTGTTTCCTATGTGAAGATAACAGGAGGCTGCAGTCGGCAGAGCTGTCAGGCTGACAGCCTGTGGATATGCTGAATTCACTCTTTCTGAAAAGCCTTCAACAATCTGGCTAAAATGGGAGGGAAATAAATAGGCTTGATATAGGGAAACAAATGGTGGATTCTCGTGACAATCATTTATGATCCTGGTTCTCCCCTCACAAATGAATGTAAATCCTTGTAGTACTGACAAAACCAGAGAATTTATCTTTCTGCATGCTCAGCATGCGAAGAAATGTCACCAAATACATCAGGAAAATCCCCCTGTTTCCTTAATATGAGGTGGGAAAATAAATACCATTAGCAGATGATGGCACCTATGATGTTTTTAAGGTGTGAGAGTCGTAGGATTTTTTGAGTTGGAAGGGACCCTTAATGGCCACCTAGTCCAACCCCCTGCAATGAACAGACACACACAGCTCCATCAG